CAGAGAGGCACAGAGAGGCACAGAGAGGCACAGAGAGGCACAGAGAGGCACAGAGAGGCACAGAGAGGCACAGAGAGGCACAGAGAGACACAGAACAGAGAGGCACAGAGAGGCACAGAGATGCGCAGAGAGGCACAGAGAGGCACTGAGAGGCACTGAGAGGCACAGAGAGGCACAGAGAGGCACAGAGAGGCACAGAGAGGCGCAGAGAGGCACAGAGAGGCACAGAGAGGCACAGAGAGACACAGAGAGGCACAGAGAGACACAGAGAGACACGGAGACACACAGAGACACACAGAGAGACACAGAGAGACACAGAGAGACACAGAGAGACACAGAGAGACACAGAGAGACACAGAGAGACACAGAGAGACACAGAGAGACACAGAGACACAGAGAGACACAGAGAGACACAGAGAGACACAGAGAGACACAGAGAGACACAGAGAGACACAGAGAGACACAGAGAGACACAGAGAGACACAGAGAGACACAGAGAGACACAGAGACACAGAGAGACACAGAGAGACACAGAGAGACACAGAGAGACACAGAGAGACACAGAGAGACACAGAGACACAGGTGTCTGTGTCTGTGTCTGTGTCTGTGCCTGTGCCTGTGCCTGTGCCTGTGCCTGTGTCTGTGTCTGTGTCTGTGTCTGTGTCTGTGTCTGTGTGTGTGTGTAGGTGTGTGTGTGTAGGTGTGTGTGTGTGTGTGCGGAGTGACAGAATGCCCTGTCACCACCCTTTCGGTTTTTCAGCAGGGGGCTTGAGGCTTCTCATCAGGACTCAGGCCAACGAAGACGCCTGATGAGAAGTGTGATGCAATCCGGGACGCTGGATTGTGTACCTGCATCGGTTGTGCAATGTCCATTTGGCCCGTTGTTTCTTTCGCTGTGTGTGCTTTATGTTGGATCTGGTAACGTTTTCGACACTAAAGAGAAGCCAAGTGCCGTGCAAGCCGAAAATCCACCCACTCGAGACTCATCAGTTGTACTCGAAACTCATCAGTTGTACTCGAAAGATTAGCACTCTCCATCTGGAGTTCAAGTGTGTACACCCCATTCGTGGGGAATCCTCGCGTGTACCCATTGTGTGACCCCGGGCCGGCTCTGTCGGAAAATTTGACCTCAACGTACTTATCATAGAACAGCGGAATTTCACATTTAACCAGGAACGAGGTTTCACTAAAGGGAAGACAGCCGTCAGATCATAGAGACGTCTCACCAGTGCTGCTGATGGCTGCTGACTTGAACTTGCATTGACTTGCATTTGTCGGACTCGTTTCTCTCAAGATTGTGGAGTTGCGGTTTTGAGTTTGTTGCGCCATCATGTCTCGACGTGATGATCGTGACAGATCTAGGACTCGGCGCAGACGTGATCGGAGTCCTTCCCCTCAAGCTCGTAAAGCACGCCGACGTGAACACAATGACAACCAGGTCTCGGAGGGCATGGATTGGAACAACCTGGCATCTTGGCAACACAATTCCGGCTACAACTCTGCCAACAATTTCCCGATGATGCCCACCAATTTTCAATCGACTCACTGCCCCACACAGCAATTCCAACACCCAGCGATCAACTACATGATGCCGATCCCTCCAGACCCCACGCCAACGAAGTTCATGCCACCCGTGATGCCACCACCGGTCACTACTCCCCAACCTACACCGCCACCTGGACCTCCTGCGGCTCTACCGGTTCGCCCTCAGAAAGCCTGGCTTACACCATCGCCTGACTGGACACCTGGAGATGGCATGTTTGATGTCAATCAACTCTACAACTTTAGCCTGCCCATGACCGTTGCCAGCACTCCGCATGGCAACCTGCGCGACATGTCAGGCATGGATATTCGTGACGTTCGCCTGGTTCAGGTTATCCATGGGGGCCTCACCAACTGGCTACTCCGACCGTTCGCTCACGGCAGATTCGTGACGTGGGAAGGCTTTCGCACTCGCACCGAGGCCTTACTTTGGAGTACCTGTTCCAAACTACTACGACGATCACAGTCGCTCAACCTGCTCACCCTGGAAAAGGACCTTGCCAACTCGCTGGGTCTCAACATCGATGACTTCAATCAGCGGATCAAGGTTCATGACCATTTGGCCAGCTTGGTACTTCAATTTCTTCAGCAACATCACACCTCTCTCACACCTTCCACCCAGACAGATGACATGGTCAAGAAGTACAATGATCTAAATCGTGCGCACGAACTGCTCCAAGCTCAGTATTCCGCATCGCTGCGCGCTTCGACCTCTCCCACGATGGCAAGCCAGAAAGATGATGCAGAGTTGGTTACACCGCCACCGGTCAACCACACACCATCCTCGTCACCTGCCAGCTCCCTTCCTACAGCCAGCGCAGCGGCCCTTGATGGCAAGTCGTTTGATAGCGCGGTGCAACCTCGGATCATTCAGTCTCTTCACGGAGTGTCGTCACCGCCGTCCAAGCCGGCGGCGTCACAATTGCTCACCATGCACAGCACGCCGGATGAAGTTGTCAAGTACTACACATGGACCAGTGACCAGCCTCGCCTTTATCTCAAGCAATCGCCCACAACCACGACTTTGGCGTCACTGGTCAAGTGGGCCAATCACCCGTCCCGGCTCAACGGCAACAAGTCATTGGATTCCATGGCGACGCAGCTCCTTCAAGCGCGTCAACGCATGCCGAAAGGCGACGCACCTACTCTCGGGGCGATGGCGGCTTCGTGGGGACTGGAACCCGGCTATCTTACCAAGCTCACTGAGAAGGCATTGAGTCACCTCATCGTGACCGCTCGCCTACTCAGCAGATGAGCAGGCATCTCAACGACCTTCGTTCTCTTATGAGCCCGGAGCGGCAACCATGTCACGGATGAGTCAAGGTTAAAACTCGTCCGTCATCTTTCTGCGTTGCATCAGTTTGATCTTGCGCTTGATTGTTCTTGCATTGCCTTGTGTGTGATTGTCTGTGCAGCTTGTATCCATGTCGCCGCCTTATGGTAGATTTCATTGGTTGCATTTTCACCATGTTGGATGAGCTTCGCCGCTGTGGAATCTATGATGATGTTGCACAATGGCAGTCTCTGGACAACTTTTTACACTCGTTGACCATGTTCTCTACGTGCTGGCAATACTGCTTCCCTGGACTACCACCACCGTCGATACCAACTGATGAGTACGAATCAATCACACAATTACCGTGGTTGGGCCTCATTCTCAAAGTCTTAGTTGTGGTCCGGATTGCCCTTCAGATTCCGAATCACGCTATGTCACACTCTCAGCACACTGTGGCCAACAGGTATGAGATTCATAGATGTCGGTGCGCTGCCTATTTATTGATCAGTTTCTTACAACGTCTCATTTCCCAAGATCATGGCTACTTTCCGCCGTTCTTTGAAGTCCTTCACTTCTACAAGGCTTCTCTCTTGTGTGAAATCATGCACTCCACTTTTGCCGACACGCGACATCT